CAATACAAGAACAATGATGGTTTTGGCAAGCGTGTTTATATGGGCATTGATTGTGATTACGATGTTGAGGGCGATTATATGTTGGAAGTGAATTCCAAGAGCCCATTCGGTAAGAAAGCTCCTGCTCAAAAACAAAACACTTATCATGGTGTTCACAAGGCCTGGAAGAATTTCCGTGATAACGAATAAATCTGTTGAAGGATTTAATAATAATGCCCCTATTACGAGAGATATTAATTGATTTAAGCGATTTTGTGTTTGTTTGTAGTATTTAGTTATTCCCAACGATAATTTTATAGTTGTGGTAATCTAATAAATGTTTTGCAATTCTTTTAAAAAGATTTAATGGATTTTATTTTATAATACACACATACACATGTATCTATGCGTGTTTGTGTTCAGGATTAGATAGTGACATATCGGATATTATTCCTATATGATCAAAACTCAAATTTAAAAGCTGTTGTTATTATTCCATATTGAGAGTTGCAGTTCAGTTTCTAACGGATTATATCAATGGTGTAAATGTAGACGGTAAGAATATCCTGTGGAGCTTTTTGCGATATCCTTACTAACATCTCACTGAAATGAAGAATATTCCCAAGATCCTATCCACTGATAAATACAAAATTTATACTCTAGATTATTTAATTAATACAAATAGAACATGGATAAGTACAGGAGTATAGTCAGAATATTGAGAGATTTTCAATGAATACTTTGGAGATAAATAGGGTCAAGAAATAGTTTAAATTTCGAAGCGGTAGGGGCGACATATTAATAAATAGGATATTTGCATACCCACCATCAAGAAAGAAGTGGGTATATTGTTTTTATTATTCCGTTTGTAACCACATCGAAATATTGGTCGTAGACCCATAAAAGTATGTATATTCCGGGTATTTATTAAATTATATAAGACAATCTAGCCCGTCCGCATGTCTGTTGTAGACACGATAGAGCCTATACAAGAGAAGATAGAAAGCTGTGTTTGGGCAATATAGGTCCACGTGTTCCCATAGAGCAACCACACAAGTTCCCTCTAGAATACATCTTAAACAGTAATATATATAATAATTATGCAGAAATTGTGATGAAGTTTTGTAAAAGTTAGTTTTGTGTAGCCTGTTATTATTTTGAAAAGTATAGCGGATATAGGTTCATAATTGGACCTACACCCCATAGAAAGTACCCATTTCTCATTGCGAACTTTTTAAAATTTACGAGTAGAACGTTTAAAAAACTCGATACTCAAATAAGTTCAGATAACCAAAAATTTCTCTAAAATTTCTCAAATAAAGTCCTCTCAGAAAATGACACTCATTACTGGCTTGAAAATACTAGTACAGCCACAAAATTCAACACTAACAAATATACGAATATAGATCTTCTTATCGAATTTCATGTGAATTGGTCTCTACTGACCTTACCGCACACTTAAGGTCCCTTTCAGAAATGACTTAAACATTGATAACTAACTTTAAAGTGGTAGTATATCAATAAAATGTATATTTATAATATGCTCGAGTTTTATACCAAGAGAAAACACTCTGCAAAATTATATAACGGTCGGTTCATTATTCACTGTACCTCCCCTATCAGGTCCCCTTCAGTGACAACGAAATTGTCACTATTAATTTCTACAAGGAATGGCTTATAAATGGCCCTAATCCTTATATGTATAAGGTCAACTTTGACTTTCAAATGTGGTGTAATGATAAAATTTTGCACATAAAAGATTTTAGAAGAAGGTTTATATGGGGCCCGATGTATGTATATAGGCTAGACTATAGACTAGACTAGACTATAGACTAGACTATAGGCTAGACTATAGACTAGACTATAGACTAGACTATAGACTAGACTATAGACTAGACTATAGAAGAGACTATAGACTAGACTATAGGCTAGACTATAGGCTAGACTATAGGCTAGACTATAGGCTAGACTATAGGCTAGACTATAGACTAGACTATAGACTAGACTATAGAATAGACTATAGACTAGACTATAGACTAGACTATAGACTAGACTATAGACTAGACTATAGACTAGACTATAGACTAGACTATAGACTAGACTATAGACTAGACTATAGACTAGACTATAGACTAGACTATAGACTAGACTATAGACTAGACTATAGACTAGACTATAGACTAGACTATAGACTAGACTATAGACTAGACTATAGATTAGACTATAGACTAGACTATAGACTAGACTATAGACTACACTATAGACTAGACTATAGACTAGACTATAGACTAGACTATAGACTAGACTATAGACTAGACTATAGACTAGACTATAGACTAGACTATAGACTAGACTATAGACTAGACTATAGACTAGACTATAGACTAGACTATAGACTAGACTATAGACTAGACTATAGACTAATGACTAGACTATAGACTAGACTATAGACTAGACTATAGACTAGATATAGACTAGACTATAGACTAGACTATAGACTAGACTATAGACTAGACTATAGACTAGACTATAGACTAGACTATAGACTAGACTATAGACTAGACTATAGACTAGACTATAGACTAGACTATAGACTAGACTATAGACTAGACTATAGACTAGACTATAGACTAGACTATAGACTAGACATAGACTAGACTATAGACTAGACTATAGACTAGACTATAGACTAGACTATAGACTAGACTATAGACTAGACTATAGACTAGACTATAGACTAGACTATAGACTAGACTATAGACTAGACTATAGACTAGACTATAGACTAGACTATAGACTAGACTATAGACTAGACTATAGACTATAGACAGACTATAGACTAGACGATAGACTAGACTATAGACTAGACTATAGACTAGACTATAGACTAGACTATAGACTAGACTATAGACTAGACTATAGACTAGACTATAGACTAGACTATAGACTAGACTATAGACTAGACTATAGACTAGACTATAGACTATACTATAGACTAGACTATAGACTAGACTTAGACTAGACTATAGACTAGACTATAGACTAGACTATAGACTAGACTATAGACTAGACGATAGACTAGACTATAGACTAGACTATAGACTAGACTATAGACTAGACCTATAGACTAGACTATAGACTAGACTATAGACTAGACTATAGACTAGACTATAGACTAGACTATAGACTAGACTATAGACTAGACTATAGACTAGACTATAGACTAGACTATAGACTAGACTATAGACTAGACTATAGACTAGACTATAGACTAGACTATAGACTAGACTAGACTAGACTATAGACTAGACTATAGACTAGACTATAGACTAGACTATAGACTAGACTATAGACTAGACTATAGACTAGACTATAGACTAGACTATAGACTAGACTATAGACTAGACTATAGACTAGACTATAGACTAGACTATAGACTAGACTATAGACTAGACTATAGACTAGACTATAGACTAGACTATAGACTAGACTATAGACTAGACTATAGACTAGACTATAGACTAGACTATAGACTAGACTATAGACTAGACTATAGACTAGACTATAGACTAGACTATAGACTAGACTATAGACTAGACTATAGACTAGACTACTAGACTAGACTATAGACTAGACTATAGACTAGACTATAGACTAGACTATAGACTAGACTATAGACTAGACTATAGACTAGACTATAGACTAGACTAGACTATAGACTAGACTATAGACTAGACTAGACTATAGACTAGACTAGACTATAGACTAGACTATAGACTAGACTATAGACTAGACTATAGACTAGACTATAGACTAGACTATAGACTAGACTATAGACTAGACTATAGACTAGACTATAGACTAGACTATAGACTAGACTATAGACTAGACTATAGACTAGACTATAGACTAGACTATAGACTAGACTATAGACTAGACTATAGACTAGACTATAGACTAGACTATAGACTAGACTATAGACTAGACTATAGACTAGACTATAGACTAGACTATAGACTAGACTATAGACTAGACTATAGACTAGACTATAGACTAGACTATAGACTAGACTATAGACTAGACTATAGACTAGACTATAGACTAGACTATAGACTAGACTATAGACTAGACTATAGACTAGACTATAGACTAGACTATAGACTAGACTATAGACTAGACTATAGACTAGACTATAGACTAGACTATAGACTAGACTATAGACTAGACTATAGACTAGACTATAGACTAGACTATAGACTAGACTATAGACTAGACTATAGACTAGACTATAGACTAGACTATAGACTTGACTATAGACTTGACTATAGACTTGACTATAGACTAGACTAGACTATAGACTAGACTATAGACTAGACTATAGACTAGACTATAGACTAGACTATAGACTAGATTATAGAGTAGACTATAGACTAGACTAGACTATAGACTAGACTATAGATTAGACTATAGACTAGACTATAGATTAGACTATAGACTAGACTATAGACTGGACTATAGACTAGACTATAGACTAGACTATAGACTAGACTATAGGCTAGACTATAGACTGGACTATAGACTAGTCTATAGACTAGACTAAAGACTAGACTATAGACTAGACTAGACTATAGACAAGACTATTAAAAAAAAAAAAAAAAACAAAATCATTAACAAACATTTAATCATTTTTTATTTAATATTGATTGAGGTAGCGCAGCACCCAGATACCCACAAATCTGGATTGTAGTTTAGTGCACTAATTTTAGACAAGTTGATTGAACTCATAGAGCTTTCAATGTATTCTAAATGTATTTTTTTAGAATATTTGTAAATAAGCGCTTTCTTATCATTACACTTCCTAAATAATAATTTCCAAAAGTCATTGACCACTTACAGATAATTAATTTCAAAAATCTGTATTTTTTATAAGTTTTAAATTAAAAAAAAGCAAAAAAAAATGTTTCCTGATGTAAGCATATTTGATGCAAACTAACGAAGTTTGTCCTACTATAAAAACCTCTAGATGAATCAACAGACAACACAGTTCAGTTTTAACTTTCGATTAACGGTATTGTCTGAAAATTAAGAACAATGAGTCCTTCGAAGTTTGTCTATGTGGTAGCTGTATTATTAGCAGTAGGTTCTGCTCATGGATCTCTGTCTGTGCTCAACAAATTGAGACCTTCACAATGGTTACCCTCAGCTCATCTGGAAGGAATACCCTCGATCGAAGAAATTTCTCTACAAAAGTTGGAAAATATGGCAGTGGAAAAGGGTGCTGAATTAGTGGAAAAGATTTGTAAGTAAATCGTTTTTTTCAAATAGCAGTATCGTAAGTAATTATATTATTTATTATTCCCTAGATCATTTGTCACAAATCAATCACGCTTTGAAGCCCAGCTTTGTGCCCAGCCCAAGCAATGTACCTTGTTATATTGTTAAGCCAAGTGGTCGTAAAGTGTCCACCTCTTTGGACAAATTGGCTTCAACTTGCAAACAACAACCCAACTTTGGTGATGAAGAAGTAACTATTTTCATTACCGGTTTACCCGCCACTACTGAATCCGTTAAGAAGGCCAATCGTATGTTGATCAATGCTTTCCTCCAACGTTACAATAACAAGAAACAACAACCACAAAAGTTCGATTATTCCGGCGAGAAAATGTCACGCACTTCCAGTGAAGAAGACTCCAGTGAATGGCAAAAACAACAGTCCTCTTCAGGCGATCTTGTGGTAAGTTAATGAAAGCTTAATTTTTTATATTTCCTAGATCTGTTGTAAAACATCCTTTTTTTCTCTCTATAGATTATTGATTTAGGTGCTAAATTGAATAGCTTCACACGTTTTGCTTTGTTGGATGTTGAAGAAACTGGCGCCATGGTTGCTTCCGCTATTATTGATATGACTGAAAAATGTGATGTTGCCGATGAAACCGTCCATCTGGTTGCTCAAGGTATTGCTGCTCATGTTGCTGGTGCCGCTGGTAATGAATATACCCGTCAAACTGGTCGTCAATTGAGACGTATCACAGCCTTGGATCCTTCCAAAGTTTTGGCCAAGAATCCTCATACTTTAACTGGTTTGTCGCGTGGTGATGCTGAATTTGTTGATGCCATCCATACCAATGTCTATGGCATGGGTACCATCCAACGTGTTGGTGATGTAGATTTCTATCCTAATGGTCCTGCTCAAACTGTTCCTGGTGCTAAGAGTATTGTTGAAGCTAGTATGCGTGCTACCCGTTATTTCGCTGAGTCTGTCCGTCCAGGCAATGAACGCAACTTCCCCGCCGTTGCTGCCAACTCATTGAAACAATACAAGAATAATGATGGTTTTGGCAAGCGTGTCTATATGGGTATTGATTGCGATTACGATGTTGAGGGCGATTATATGTTGGAAGTGAATTCCAAGAGCCCATTCGGTAAGAAAGCTCCTGCTCAAAAACAAAACACTTATCATGGTGTTCACAAGGCCTGGAAGAATTTCCGTGATAACGAATAAGCCAGTTGAAGGATTAAATGACAATGCCTTATATGAGAGATATTGATTGATTAAAGCGATTTTGTGTTTGTAGTATTTAGTTCCCAATATCACCTCAACATTTTATTTTAAAGTTGAGGTGATCTAATAAATGTTTTGCAATTCTTTTAAAAAGATTTAATGGATTTTATTTTGTAATAGAAAACAATATCTGTACGGACATCATATTGAAATGGAAAAGATCAAGATCACATTCACAGATTAATAAAAAAATCTTCCTTTACATTATTTAATTAATAATAGTGTAAGAAAAAGTTAATAAGGATATTCGGATAGCCTCTTACATATAAACAAGTAAGAGTTCTATATTCGGCTATGCCGAATCTTGTATATTCTTCTGCATAATGTGTCAACAATTTTATTACAAAAACTCTTAAACTACCAGTTGTAAAACAAAAAGTACCATGTTTCTAGGTTTAATATTGAAAAAATCAAAAAGTACCAATTGAAGATTTTCATTACATCAGGATATATGTATGAATGTCTGATTATATATATGTTTCTGATTCAATAAAAATATAAAAACCAAAAGTTAAACAATGAAAAAGTACCAAATATCATTTCCTACAGATTTTAATTCCCTTAGGACTCTGAATGGTTTTATTTTTATGTTTATAGGTTCAATATTATAGCAAATTCAAAAAGTACCTTTTCAAGAAGGAAAAAGTACCGAAAAGCCCCGCTTTATATGTTTTCACTTACACTCTACAGGCTTAATTTTATGTTTTTAGGTTCAATAATATACAAATTTCAAAAAAGGTACCCCTTGAAAAAGGAAAAATTACCGAAATCCTACCAAAATATCAATTTTTATAGGATCTCATTTACTCCGGCCTATACTTTCATGCTTAATTTCATGTTTCTAGACAATAACAACTGTTTTGTTTTTACAAACAAGCAAAATAAGTACAAGAACAATATTTATCTTATGATAATGCGGTTTGTTGTTGTTAATTAATTTTGTCTATGCATGCACAATAATTTAAATTTTTAATGAAATTTTTAGAGTTTGTCTCAGATTTTAGCTTATATCTTCGATTTTGCGTTCTTCCCGAACGTATGTTTGTTAGAATTATTTAAGAATCGGATCTCGCAGATATTTTCCCTTCTTACGAAAGTGAAGGGTATAAAAATCAAATAAACACAACCAAAATTATAGGAACCCTCAAAAAATGACAAAGTGCAAAAACAACATCATATCCATAATGTCACAATAACAAAATAAACGCCAACTCCAGAAAAACTCAGTAAATGAAAAACCATCATCAACTCCCCTCAAAACAAAATGCAAAAACAGTGACGTCACCATCACAAAACAAAAAAAAAAAAACGCACAAATACATTTCATAAACAACAACACTCCTGCAGGCTTGTTTTGACAATCAACAACAAAATAAGTTGACCTGATGAAATGCAAAACCTTTGAAACAATTACAATGTTGTATATAACAACAAAAACAGTTGTAAAGAAATTAAGTAAAACAATATAATAATAATATTTAAGAAAAAATCACATTTAAATAATATTCATAACTTTCTTACTTGTTTTTTTTTTATTAATTGATTACTTCATAAGATGGTGGTGGATGTTGGCGGCAGCATTTAGAAATTTCTTAAAAAATTCACTTTAACACTTTTTTTGTTATTTGCACTTGTTAATCACTTAATTAATACTTTAAATAACTTTAATTTTTAATAGATTATTATGAAAAACATAATTTCAAAATGCGTCTTTATAAATTTAAGCAAATTTGCAACCGCTTAGTTTAATGACTAAAGGAGAACTAATAAAAAGCAGAATATGCAAATGAAAGGGAATAGCTAAAATGTCAAAATGCTTAACGTTTTTCAAAGTCCTTAAGGTATGCTAAGGATTTTGCGTGTTTAGTTTTTATATAAACATTAATGGACAGATTGAACATGCGCAATGTTATTTTAGTTGCAGACAAAACTATATTTTATTTATAAAAACAAATAATGTAGGCTATCTTAAGGCTGATTTAACGATAATTTTTGTACTTTTTTAATACTTTATTTTATATTTATTAATTTTACTTTAATAATCATAATTAAAGAATTTAAATGATTACCTTTATCTAAATAGTACTGTTAAATGGATGTTAAAATCTGTCTATTATATATATGTATGTACATATATTCTATATATTTATACATACATATATATGTATGTATGTATGTATATTTTTTCACTTACTCAGGGCTCTAGATGCCTAATTTCATGTTTCTAGGTTAAATGGTATGCAAAACTCAAAAAGTATCTTTTGAAGAACAAAAAATACAAAAATTTCTAATTTTATAGGTTCTCATTTACTCTGGCCTCCACTTACAAGCTTCATTTCATGTTTCAAGACAATAACAACAAACAGCTTCATTCGCACACAGATTGTTGTACTTGCTGTGTTTTGTTTTTATAAACAAAAAAAAAAAAAAAAAACAAACATGTCTGATAGAATTATTTAAGAATCGGATCTCGCAGATATTTTCCCTTCTCACGAAAGTGAAGGGTATAAAAATCAAATAAACACAACAAAAATAAATAATTATGACAAAAATTATAGAAACCCTCAAAAAATTTAAAAATGACAAAAATGCAACAACAACATCATATCAATAATGTCACAATAACAAAATAAATGCCAACACCAAAAAAATTCAGTAAATGAAAAACCATCAACTCCCCTCAAAACAAAATGCAAAAACAGTGACGTCACCATCACAAAACAAAAAAAAAAACGCACAAATACATTTCATAAACAACAACACTCCTGCAGGCTTGTTTTGACAATCAACAACAAAATAAGTTGACCTGATGAAATGCAAAACCTTTGAAACAATTACAATGTTGTATATAACAACAAAAACAGTTGTAAATAAAGTAGTTACAATAATAATAATACATATTTAAGAAAAAATCACATTTAAATAATATTCATAGCTTTCTTACTTGTTTTTTTATTAATTGTTTACTTCACAAGATGGTGGTGGATGTTGGCGGCAGCATTTAGAAATTTCCTAAAAAATTCACTTTAACACTTTTTTTGTTATTTGCACTTGTTAATCACTTAATTAATACTTTAAATAACTTTAATTTTTAATAGATTATTATGAAAAACATAATTTCAAAATGCGTCTTTATAAATTTTAACAAAATTGCAACCGCTTAGTTTAATGACTAAAGGAGAACTAATAAAAAGTCGAATATGCAAATGAAAGGGAATAGCTAAAATGTCAAAATGCTTAATTCTATTAGTTTTTCAAAATCCTTAAGGTATGCTAAGGATTTTGCGTGTTTAGTTTTTATATAAACATTCATGGATAGATTAAACATGCGCAATGTTATTTTAGTTGCAGACAAAACTATATTTTATTTATAAAAACAATTAATGTGGCCTATCTTAAGGCTGAATTAAAAATAATTTTGTACTGAATTAAAAATAATTTTGTACATTATTTTATATTTATTCATTTTACTTTAATAATCTTAATTAAAGAATTTAAATAATTACTGTTATCTAAATAGAACTGTTAAATTAATGTTAAAATCTGCCTTAACATATACAATACTATGTTATTAAACTACTAGAGTAGATTTTTTCTTCAAATTATGTAACAGTGTTAAGTTATTATTGCTAATTGCACAGTGTTGCTAATATGTGTTAAAAATTCAAAGTTGACAGATTCTTAGCATAGCTTAAGGAGGTTTATAAGTGCATAGAAAGTGCGTATTTTATTTTAGCTTTTCTCTTTTGTTCGTCTTCTTCTTTTTAGTTAGTTCTCCTTTAATTGTCAAACTAAGCAGATGCAAATTTGTTAAAGTTTATGAAGACGCAAGTAAAAATTTTTCTTTTTTTTTTGAATAATTTATTGAAAACAGTGTTAATTATAAGTAAAAATGATAAAGAAATGTGTAATTAAGTGTTTTAGTGTTTTTTTCCCATAAGAAATTAAGTAGTTTCGGAATGCTGCCGCCACCCACCATTACATTGTACAGGCAACCTCAAATATGTATATACAAAGGTAAGTTTGTTTTTGTAAAATTTACAACAAAACGAAATTTATGTATGTACATAAAACATATTGCGGGAAAATAATTAGTTAGAATTTTGCAAATTTAAACTATTTTTTTCATAATCGACCGAAACTTTGTTATTATTGTTGTTGTTTTTCTCCTTCCCAATATTTGTTGTTATACAAAGCATTGTTATTGTTTCAAAGGTTTGGCATGGCATCAGGCCGTGACTTGCAGCCGTAGTTGTTGTTGTTTATGAAAATTGTTTGTGCGTTTGTTTTGTTATTGTGACGTCAGTGTTATTGCCATTTGTTTGTGTATAGTGGGTTTTTGGATCAAGTTACACTAATGGCATTGTAAAAGCAGTTCTACAACAAATACTACCTTTACAAAAACAACATGCAATTTGTTGTTTGTTTTGGTTGCTGCGTTTGTTAAATTCGGCCGTTGTTATACCCTACACCACTTTAGTGGGGAGGGTATATTGGATTTGTGCTGATGTTTGTAGCATACAAAAATATTCGTCCTAGACCCACCTTAAAGTATACCAATCGGCTTAGAATCGTTTTCTGAGTCGATTAAGCTATGTCCGTCCGTCCGTCTGGCTGGCTGGCTGTCCATGTAAACCTTGTGCGCAAGGTACAGGTCGCAATTTTCAAGATAATTGGATGAAATTTGGCACGCACGTTTTATTTGACCTAAGGACGAAGCCTATTGAAAATGGTTAAAATCGGCCCATTATTTCACCTAGCCCCCATAGAACAGAACCCCCCTAAAAGGGCTTCTGAGCTCATAATTATGTTAAATATACAGATATATCGGTAAAATACGGCACAACTAAGTTTTATAGAAGTCTTGATGACCCTGCCAAATTTCATAAAGATCGGGCCACATTTGACCCTAGCTCCCATACAAAGTCCCCTTCAGAAAATTACTTGAATGTCCCAAATTAGCTTATAAACACAAATATCGCGATGAAATTCAGCACAATAAAATATTATGT